GGAAGCAAAATGTATTTTTATGTTGCTTCTTTTCAGATTTGTGGAGATTTTGATGTAACTTTTGATGTACCCGCCTTTTTGTTGATTTGTTGATACAGCAGCTCTATCTACAGCAGATCTACATGCATGAAATGTCCCTTTCATGTTGCCTTAACTGCTGTATGTCANATCACTCTCTCAGGATAACCTGAGCCACTCTAACTAGAAGCTTTATCAAAGAGGAAAGTTTTAAGCCTAGCCTTAAAAGTAGACAGGGTGTCTGCCTCACGGACTAAAACTGGTAGTTGGTTCCACAGGAGAGGAGCCTGAGAACTAAAAGATCTGCTGTGAAAATACTCCATTACGTCCAGATACCTTCCAGAAAGCACTAACATAACAAATTTCCTTCCCTGTAGGTAGTTTAAAGCCTGTTTCCCATCCAGCTGGGACTGATTCAGTCTCAGAAGCAACAGCAGAAAGCAGCTTCCATGCTGCCGTCCCAGACATCCATGAAGAAATGTCCCTTTAAACACTCTTATAGCACGAATCTAAATAAGTCTTTTTTTTCTTAAAAATAGGTGGATTTGTTGGATTTGTTCTTGAATTGAGGAGGGCAGGGAGACACAGTGAGACAAAGTAAGATGCCAATGGAACAAGACAATTTACATTTAAAATAAGAATAAAAACAATTTTCCCATTACAAGTGCATATTATCTAATTATCTTACTTTAAGAGTAAAAATATTCATTATATTGGCAGATTATCTTATTTACCTGCTAAATTCTAGATGATTTTTGCAGGGAACCCAAAGGAACCTTCTTTTGGCGTCGCCATGACTCTGCTGCAGAGCATAGACTGAATATCCAGTCCAGGCACATCTGTATTTGATTTAATGAGGTGGAATAAGGCCCCTAAGCCGCCTCGCTCCACACCTTTATTATGAGCCTCTGAGGAGCGGTAATTTGGCTGGTACAGTGGACGGCCACGACAGAACGCTTAATAATATTCTCAGAGAACATTAGTTTGATGAATGAGTGTCAGAAAGCTGATCTGTTAGAGCAGAGGCATCGTTCAACAGAAGGATGCAGTGACACCTCTATTAGGCGCTCGGTGGGGCCGGGATGGGAGATGATGGACACGCTGGGCCCATCAGCATTACTTATGCTAATATAAGAAAAAGACACTTGTCTTCAGAGCAAATGAAGAGCGAGCAAAGCTCAGCCTGCAGAACGAAGGACGAAATGAGGCAGCAGATTGCCGACATGATTGGCGAGTAAAAGCGAGTCGGAGCAGCTTATGAGGGCAGATTAATGCCAGGATGTAGTATTTATATCTGGAGCCACAGGATTAAATAGAGCTGAGACGTTCCCACAAATTCAAGAGGCTGACAGCCGATCCTCCAGACAATAGAGCCGTCAGTTTCCACTCATAAGTTAGACTTTGTGCAGAAGCGGCACCTGAAGTGTCTGCGGGCTCAGCAGGCCCCTGCATGTCCACCTGCTGAGTCACTGTCAGGTGGAAGGTGCTCAGCAACACTGCAAAACGTTTAAAGGTCTAAATAAGTCATTTTTTCTTAAAATAAGTCATTTTTTCTTGAATTGAGGATGGAAGTGAGATACTTTCCCAATGAAACAAGACAATTTACATTTAAAATATGAGAAAAAACAACCGCATTGTCTTATTTCAAGTGCCTATTATCTAATTGTCTTATTTTAAGAGTAAAAGTACTCATTTTATTGGAGAATCATCTTATCTACTAACTTAAATTAGGCAAAAATAGACTAAATTGAAGAATATTTTACATATTTGTAGATGGTTTTGCAGTGTGCAGTAAGGCTGAGACACCCAAAGGTGACATGAGACGGACTCAAACTGCCTGATACTCATCAGCTGAAGAAAAACAGATTTATTAAGGCAGGAGTTGCTATAGTAACGCG